CTTCCCGGGTTCGTGACATCACAAACCCAGATAAACCCCGCCCCCGGGAAAAGGCAGCAATGGGGGTGAGGCCATGCTGCGCTGCTTTAGAGAAGGGGAAGAGAAAACTAGAGCTGCACGTAAAAATCTATTCATATATGAATTCTGTCTTCTAACGATTCTAATGGATTCACAAGTTTCAAAATCAATGTTCTAAAGCAGCGGTTCTTAATACTGTTCCTCGCGTCCCCATGCTCTGCACACACTCTGCATCTCTCTCTCTCTTATTCAGTTCACTGTTAATTATACACTATAAAACTATAATTATACACCAATTATACACTTATTTTCACTTAGCTATGAGAAGCGTTATACATGGACGCTCGTGCAGTTGCCGTACTGTATTAAAGCATTAATCAAGATAAAACCCATAAACACAATCAAGCCTAGAAAAAGACCAGTGAACCACCCCTTTAAAAAATGCATCTTGAGACCTTGCGTTATTTTTCCCCATTCCATTGCATTTTTCAAAGCAAAAACAAAACAGTACAGACATTTAGCATTTTTTAATATGCTGCAAACCTTCAGGGCAAGAATCTTTATTCATCCAGTGCAGCTTGAGCAATCAACACGGGTGCCAATTGGGATCAAATCTGTGTTGGTTCTGGTACAAAAAGGTCAATAAACTGTCTTAAATAGACTTTGTTTACAATTGGAAATCTCAGAAATGGGCTGTTGGACTCCTGTGGCTTTAGAGCAGTGTAGATCTTGTTGTGATGTGGGTGATGACAGCAGAGACTGCAGTGTGGTTAACCCAAGATATTTATTTATTTGGTTTATAACCTCAGATTGCAAAGCACATGGCTGGTGCTTCCTGACCAGTGCTAGTTAGGAGTCGATTGTAATCAGGTTTGCATGCAGTTTATATATTTGCATTTTTTTTTCAGTGAAATGTTTTATTATTTTCTGAAAAATTGAGGCTTATGATTCTTCACATAAATGATGAATCATACTGAACCCAGTGCACATTATCACAACTGGCCCTTAGTGGAATGTGCAAAACAACTTAAGCTTTATGAACTCCATCTGTGGCATATAATATATTGATTCATCCCTCAGTTTGTCAAAACAAACAAAAATTTAGTTTACAGCGATGCACTTGCAATGGAAGTCTAAGATGTGAGGCATTCCAGAGGGATTCAAAGCAGAAACGTGTTGAAGCGTTGTGCATGTTTATTATTTGAGCTGTTTAGTTGTCTCAGTCATCCTTTTAGCACTGGGACTACTTGTCTAGATGAACGTCTGCTTATGCATTATCGACATAATTCCTGTGGGTGGATTTTTCTGTTAATACCTGAAGCAGTGTCCAGTCTAATATTATGATTCTTAATTTGAGAGAAGGATGTGCTGTAATGAAGTATCAGGTGTTTTTTTTTTGTGTTATGTTAATCAGTTATCACTGTGGTGCGCTTAATTTTTTGTTTTGTTTTCCCAGATGATTTTAAAGGGACAAAACATGTATGTTTGCATTGTAAACATTTGATTCACACAAAATTGACCTTTATGCTGTCTGCTTAAAGCAAATTAATTTGGTCATTTTTATCTTCATCTTCTTTTCTTTTTCTTTTTATTTATTATGAAAATCTACAAACAGAAATTAAAAATATTGCATTAATAAATACAAATGTATTTATTTATTCTATAAAAATAATGTATGGCTATTTTCAAACATTTAATTATTATTATATCTATTTTATTTTATATTTTATATAAAAAGAATGCACAGCTGTTTTTCAATGGCAGTTATAATGGTGTAGCTATGACATCTACCAGCAGGTGCAAACTGTAAATACTAACCAGCTAAACCTTGATTCCATAACATGAGAGGAACTATTGACTAGTTTTGTTAAAACGTTCTGTTTTGTTAGTCTTGGTGCTTTATTTTTGATATTTGTGTATTTTATTGTTTATCCTTGTGCAATACCTCAGAGACTTCCTTTGTAAGTGCATTGCTGTAAATAATGCAAGATTTTTGCTTGCTTCAAACATGAAGTTGTTGTATTGATCTAAACTGCTGTATATTATACACTCTTAGGATGTGTTCTGACTGACAGTCCAGCAGGAGAGACTCTCGGAGCTATGCAGTGTGTGCTTTGAGTGCAGGTGTGTGTGTTTTTTGTCAGAGATATAAAGGGACATGGAGAAAAAGCAGACTGGATCAAGTCTAGGAGAATCCTAGTGACGAGCAAACAGAGCAGATGTGATTAATTATTTACGTGCCATATTTGTCCTCCAGACATCATTTTTTCTCTCAGTCTGCAGCGCTGCGAGTAGCGAGTGCTGTTTTAAGATGATGGGCACATCTGAACAGAGATATGGAGACGATGCTACAGGCAGTTTCTCTGACACACACACACACACACACACACACACACACTCTTCTCTCTCCTCGGTTTCATTACTGCGATCGCTGCAGCAGTGGGAAGTGGTGTGTGTTTAGAAGTGTTTCACAGAGCCGGTGGGTGTTGACAAAGTCGGTGAGAACTGAAACAGGTGGGTGAGAGTAAAGTCAAAGTTCATGCTTGGATTCATGTTTTTGAGAAACTGCAGTCTTTTTTTGGCCAAATTCGATCATGTTGGGTTTCCTGTGCATCCTCTTTAGTTTATAATCTCACACTATATATTACACTCATGCATATATAGTGGCTTTTCATTGTAGTTTGATATGTCAAATAGCTATTTTTACATTAGGCAAGTTTCCATCCAGTGTTTTTATGCACATTTTAGGATATTGCATAAGCAAGTGC